CCACGTCCCCCCACCTCGACCTTCAATTCTATTCAAGATAAATGAGCATTATTTTTTTTCCATTGAAAGCAAGATTGATGAAGAGATTAACCGCTGATCGTTGTTCATTTTATTTATTTGGTGCACTTTGGTAAAATGTTGGGTTTTTTTTGCTGATCATGTCATTTCATCAAGATTGATTTTTAGTTTTCTCTTGATGTTGTAGTGTTTTCCATAAATAACTTTGCATCTTCGAATCTGTTAATCCTTATGTTTAAAAAGATAAATGAATAAATATGTAAATAACAAAGAGGTTATATAATATGATAATACAAGATCTCGCAGCAGTGACGTCGTCACACGTGTCAGACATGGAGTCTTCTTGCCCTCATCGGCATGGCCTGCTGACCCCCCCCCCTCCCTCCCAATTTACATAAACAATCAGAACCCACACCCTGCTCCCCACGAGATCTACAATTATTATTAAACACCACCCTGCCCCCATATTTCAGTGCAAGCTTGTAGATTTCCTCCAAAGACCGCCGAGACGTGCCCCCACATCAGTCTCGAAAAGTACTCACCCGTCTCTTGAACTGCTCATGTCTTGCCCTTGTGGTTCAGGGTCCAAAAGTGGGGGCACAACACAGGCAGCGCAGCGTTCGTTTACGTGGGGGACATCACTGCCACAAAACTCCAGTAGGCCCACTTATAGTAACCTCTTTGGTAAATAGAAATCAAAATAAATAAATTGTTACATATTTAAAACCCAGATCTACACATCTTTCAATTTCATTCGACGGATTTTGTTGATTTCTTTTTGCTTTGCAAATCTGTTGGTCAATGTCTTTTTAAAACATTGTACAATATAATATTTTGTGTAATTCATGTTCAATTTATAGGCCTATGTATACATTTTTAAAACCCTTTTTGTGTGTTCATTTAATCGACGAACAGATTTCCATTCATTCCCCGTTTAAAGTACAGGGTCCTAATTGCCTGTTGATGATATCCTCGTCTTTGGCTTTGGGATTCAATGTTCTTGAAATTATTATAAACTGAAAAGTCGTCATTGATTTTGAAATACAAGTTTCCTTTTTCCTACCTACTTAGGTTAATCTTTTGAATTTGTTTAAACGTGCCTTTTGGTTCCTTATTAAAGATTTGTGTTGAGTTTTTATTTTGTTTTATTTTATTTTTTTCATGAATGTATTTCTATATTATTATTATCTCGCCCGACCGTGAATAGAAAGTAGTGGTTTATATCTATGCGCCCGACAAGATGGACACAAGTTTTTTGTCTCGAAATGCGGCTTCATCGTGGTGATCAGCAACGCGTTCTTCGAAGAACGCATGCGCTGTTGCTATCCGCTTGAACTTCCGTAAACAAAGTGTAAAATGTCTGCACAGTTTCAGTATTATCCTAACCCTGATGATGACTTTATTCTTCAGGGTGGAACTCCTTATTATTACAGGTTTTACGAATCTTACTTGTACCATAACTCTATTTCTTTTGCTTTGATTATATCGAGTTGAGAGAGCGATAGAGGGAGAGCGAGAGGGAGAGAGAGAGAGAGAGAGAGAGAGAGCGCTACTACTTGAATCAATGCTAGATCTACTTCTTACTTGCTTTGATTACTATTAGTACTACTATTACTATATAATAAGTGTCTATACTTATACTATAAATGAACTTTTAATCCCTCGCGAATCCTCCATATGTCTCTTTCTTTCTCTCTATACTCTGTCTCTGTCGATCATACTCATACGTCTGTCTAGATGAGACACCTCCCCCCCCCCCCTGCCTCTTACCCTCACTTCCCACTCACCTATTATTCTGTGTCTGTTCCCCCCCCCCCCCCCCCCTCTCTCTCTGATCTCTCTCTCTCTCTCTCTCTCTCTCTCTCTCTCTCTCTCTCTCTCTCTCGTCTCTCTCTCTCCTTTATCTCTCTCTTTTTAAATTCTCTCTTTCTTTCTCTCTCTCTCTTTCTCTCTCTCTCTCTCTTTCTCTCTCTCTCTCTTTCATAACACATGGACACAACACACACACAAACACACACACGCACTACTTGCATATACACAAGGAGAGTGAGAATAAAGAGAGAGCGACTACTTACACTGATTTTCCTATATCATATGTTCGTATTCATTGGGTCTCCGGTGAGATGCTTCTATGAAGACCTTATATTGATCCTTGTGTACAGCCTGAGACTAATTATAAATACCTCGACTGGCGATAGCATGGTAGTTTAATTATTTCTCTCAAATGTGTTTGATTTCCTGTATTCTTCTTCAATGATAAGTCATCATAAGTTAAAATTTCCACCCACATTTGTTGTTTTTGTTGTGTTTTCATGTTTTCAACTTCGTTGTCAGTGTCAGATTTTTATCCTACTGAATTCGCATTTTTTAAAACTGAAGTGCAAAAATACACTCTGGCCGCTTTTCTAACCTTTTTTCAAAGTCAAATTAAATTGAGAAGATGCAAACCATATATAGGCCTATGTGTCACGACGTAGTGGAATCAGGCGCTTGTCAAAAGAATGAGATTAAAGGCATATTATTATATTATGGGACTACTATTTTTCTGCCAGTTTGGCAATTTTTCTCGAATTTTGTTTTTCGGCTTAACACCACTGCTGTCCAATTAAGAACACATATCTGGGTGGATTTTACTGAAAAAACGTTGATTGCAAGCACAAAAAATTTTAGTTTCCAAGGACTCAAGCCTTGGAAATAACCAAACTTTGGCAGCCATATTCTCGCTAATTTTTCCTTTGAAACCAGGTGACCCCACCTTCTATTTAAGATAGATGGGCTTTTTTTTCACCAGTAGCAAGACAACTGAACCTAAAATTAAGCTTTAAGATGATACGAATAACTCCAGATGCCCTAAAATTGATGAGCGCCTGATTCCACCTCGTCGTGTCACATGGAAGGCTTTGATATGCATATACCTTAGCTGCTTCTAAAAAGTCTTGGCCATGTACGTCCTGGTTACTTTGCTACTTTATGTACTGAAAATTGTGGCTCACTTGCATTTTGAATCATGTGTAATGTATTTGGAGTCCAAAAAGTATAAAGAATTTTGTTGACAGGATCCTTTCAAAACCCTATTCCATCTGGTCATCGCCAGCCATTCTTGTGCAAAGTTAAAAATTTTTCTCTGTTCCTTATGTTTCAAAAAGTGCGGCTTACTTTTGATACTGTTAAAGAATTATTGGACCTAGGGTATCTTGGGCTTTCTTTTGGCTCTCATGAATGAACAATAGTAGGCTTATAACAGCTACAAAATTTGTATTTCCTTGTTAATACTTTTCCTCCATTGACCCCACTATATGAATATTACTTAGTACTATTCCTGAACCTAGCTGTATATAGCATTGCGGGCCCCAGATCCTGGTAAATGTGACCATGAACTCATTGATGCAAGTGTGCATACTGACCAAGGAAAACAAAGCTTGGAGACATGCTGTTAGAGTCATTCAGTTTCTTTAGATAATGATGATTAGACTGGGAACAAAAAATTAAGCCTAAAAATAAAAGTACTTACAATTTGCAGCTTGATTTTGATTGCTTACCTTTTGATTTGACTTTTTTGCATTCTTTTTTTAAAAATGTTTTCTGAGAAGTTGTACCTGTAACAATGTCTTGCATTTTCGACAGAGAAACACCAGGATTTGTGAGAAACTCCATGTTAACGGATACAACAAAAAATCTGTCCCAGCATGCTTACAATGCAGAAAGATATGGAGACGACCCCCAGCTGCGTGGTTCTCTACGGACAGTTTCTCGTAGCCTTAACCGTGTTCATGGAGACCTTACTAAATCACTGCTTGAAGATGACAGCAACTCCCGACCCTTGACCTCCACCCACAGCTACTCCCACAGCACACTCAATGAAGTTCTTAGAGATGCTATGAACAGAAATCCCCCACCGGCGTCCCTTCTATCTCGAACAGAGTGGTATACTAAGCCCATACACCTAAGCGCCTCTGTGAACGTCCCCATGAGTACTGAGGACATGCTGGCATCTCGATACTTCCCTGTCACCCTAGGTGAACTCAAAAGCCTGGAAATGTTGGAAGATATCAGACCAGGGAGATCTCGTTCCCCAACTCGGTCTAAGAAATCTAAGGGTCATCAAAGGTCAAAAAGTGCAACAAGGGGTGAAGCCAGGAGAATTGATTATGATGTGTATTACCTCACTTCAGAAGCACCAAACATAAGTGAGTATCAAGAAATTCTGTGGGAGTTTATAACTAGTGCATAAAAAAGGCAATATAAAGTAAAGTCTTCTTAACACTATCCGTACGTCGTGTTTTACTATCGTATCCAAACGATGTGGGGAACTCTGTGCCACCTTTTTCCAAAAAGGAAATTACTCGTTAATCCAATCCGTATGCTTTGCCTTGCAGTCTGTCAAAGAATGATTTTTTGAGAAATACTGAAAGTTTCAAAGACATCTTCGTACTAGAAGTATTCTAAAATGTGAAGAATACAACCCCGGGGGTACGAAATGACCTCAGATAGGGTTAAAGTTTACTTACGAATACAATTATTCTGCTCTTGGTCTATATAGGTCAAAGTAATGGATTTCAAAATCATGCTGATTTTTACTAACAGCAGATGATTCAAAAATGGGTTAATGGAAGTTATCATGTTATTAGCATTGTAATAGTTTAGTAAGCTTTTTTAAAAACTGTTGGGTACTATGCAAGTTGTCTAGCACGCAGACAGCGAAATTGGCAGGATGCAGAAGTCCTTTTGTTATGTATGAATTTGGCTATGTATGTGTTTTAAACACAAAGAATGTCGATATTTACGTAAAAAGTTTGGAACCTGAAAACCTGTTCACTTTTTGCATGTTTTGCTATGTACGGGCTATTACTGTATGTAGGAAAAAGTTGATAATTTTTGTAATGTACACTGGTCTGTTCCACCTGAAATGATCAGTACAGTATTATGCATGCTCTTCTTTAATTCTGGCTTGAAGTTTTTCGAAGACATAAGTCTATCAAGTCAGTTGTTATGGGGTTTTTACTTTCTTTTATTTTCACCTCAGTTAATGTTACAGCATCTTTAACTCCACTTCTTAAAAATAATTGAATCAGTTGTGCTTTTTCTCCAAGTGCCAGGTCTGGTGTCAGATATTGCCAGTTATGATTCGTCACTTCTTTTCTCTGCTCAAATGCTCTAAAACAAAATAAATTTAATAACTATACCATCCTGGTATATTCCCCATCATTTATCTGTTGGTAGAAACTTATTAATTGTTTTCATTCATTCTGTGATGTATAAAATTCAAACCGAGCCAAGATGGCAGATAGTGTAGGCCTAACATTTATTTTAGTTTTTTTATGCTCCAAAGATGTCCAGCATTCAAGGTGCTTTTAAAGAAGTAATAAGAAAAATAAGTGGATTCTCTCGCGAAATTTATCAACTCCTGTTGAGATTTTTCTGTTCTTGCAGTCTTTATATGTGAGACTCGGCAAATTTGTTATGCAGAAATTGTAATAGAAGTTAATAAACTCTTAATATTTTACCTCTCTGGTGATGTTTTTTGTCTGCGAATATGACCTCTAATTTCTCGCACTCCTATTTTGTGGGGGTCATTTTCCTGTTCAGTATTCTAGGCTGTTGCCTTACAGACTCTCTTGGACATAAGATACAATTTTTGTTATCTGCTGGACTCTCAATATCTACAGAAACAGCTGGAATAGCTTTCACATCACCATACAGTGATGAATTATCAAAACTTAGGATGGAAAAGCTACGGATTGAAGAAAGACAGTATCTGGAACTCAAGAGACAGGCAGAGTTAGAGAAAATCAGAGGACCTAAGCCCAAATGGTTTGTAGTTGTCATTTCTTCTGTGATTGCTTCACAGTTCTCACCACTGACGTGCTCACACAACTACCTACATTTACACCTCTCTCTCTCTCTCTTTCTCTCTCTCTCTCTCTCTCTCTCTCTCTCTCTCTCTCTCTCTCTGTATCTTTCTCTCTGTCTCTCACACACACACAACACTCACACACTAGCACACACACACACACACACACACACACACACACACACACATAGGCCCTACACACACGCACACACACACATACAAAAAATATACATGATACACACATGTTTGACACACACACATACACACACATACACACTCACACACACACACACACACACACACACTGAGAAGTAAATGAAAAAAGATAATTTATTATTGACCATTTTTTTGACAGTGAAGGTCGATTTATGCTACTGATATCTATACTATACGAGTACATTGCATTGCTTTTTACTTTTTAGTCATTGTTTGAGGTTTGGCGCCGCTCTCTGATGGGAGAGCTCTTTTGGGGTTTTTTTCTCCTTCATTTCTGCATTTACTTTCAAGAGCAATTGACACTAACAGTAGTTGTTTTTTTTCCATTCACAATGCAAGAGATGTTAACCTATATATTTCACATTTTATTTTCAAATTTAATAACCCAATCCCTCACCTTTTAGGCAGCTAGCCATGTAGTTTTTTCCTTTTTCAAAGATATCTTTTTAATGTAGAGACCAGAGGTAAAATTTGGATTTTATTTACCTTCAAAGACTTAAATGTAAGCTTACTCTTCTCAGTTTTTCAACTACCAGAGGGTCTTTTCATGTAAAAGGTTCACCCACAATTGCTAGGATGTATGCTTGCCCAGTTCAAACTCAATGATGGAAGCATCAAGTCATTTTAGAGGAAAGATCAAATTCAGCTCTCGTGGTTACCCAAATCCTAGGAAAAATTCAAACAAGTACATTTTCAATCGCTCAAAGGAATGACATTGAATACAGAATGTTCTGTGATAACAATCTTTGAGTTGTTTTTATTTTTCTTCTTTTTTTTAAATGATGTTAATTGTTTAAATCTTGCACATCTTCAGGTATTCCCTCAAGGGCCCTGAGTTTCACATTGAAGCCAAGAAGAACAATGATTTGGTACGCAATTCAGACAAGTGGGATGACCTACTGACTTATCGAGAACGGTTACTAAATGCTACCAACCGTCTTCGGACAGCTTTACAGGACTATGAAATTCCAGCATATTGATTGATAGGATCCATTGTTTAGCTGTACTCATATGTGTCATGATGTGGTGGAATCGTGCACTAGTCAAACTTAGGGCTAATGAAGTTATTGGTATCATTTTAATGCCTGCATATTCTCCATGCTTTTGATTTTAAAAAAACTTACTCTCTTATTATGCATAGAAGTCGAGATATTTGCAATTGAAGGAGGTGAGGGTCTCCCAGTGTAAGTGTAAGAGGAAAAAATTAGTGAAGAAATGGCAGTCAAAGTTTGGTGATTTCCAAAGTTTGTTTGTCTTTGGAACACATTTTTTGTGTAAAGATTTTCAGTAAAATTCATGCAGGAAAGTGTTTTTAAATTATGAAAGATATTGAGCCAAAAATAACAAATTCGATAAAAATTGTCCAACGGATTGAACAATGTCTGTTTCTTTGATTTCACTATTTTGACAAGCTCCTGATTCCACCACACTGTAATACATATTATTTCTATTTATTATACTCACAGCAACTATTTTCAAATTTCCAAGACTAATGTATTCCCTTGCTTTAGACTAAAACTGTAACCTGAATATTGGCCCATACCTAATAGTGAGTATAAAGCTTAGATATCTTTTATAAACAGAAATATTAAGATATATGAGACTTTCTGAATGTTGTCATGTGAGAGTATAGATCTATAAGTATAGGATGATACTGTTTATGTGTTGATTAATTCTTTGGTGCAAAGAATGCTCCCTGTGTTCTGTCTCACTTGGTATGATTGTATTAGTGATAAACTTGTGTTTTAGGTATTGAAGTGTACGCAAAACTCATTGACTCATTTTTCTAAGGATATTTAATTTCTTGTTTATTACATTATAGTTACAAACACTGATATAAAAGGAAGATATATGTTTTTATTGTAAAACGTTTTGTTAAAGGGTTTCTAAATTTTCCTCTACTCTCTTGTCTTGCTCTGACTAGAAACGATGTACTGCACTTCAGATTAATTTTAATAATAGCAGTTTGCTTCTAAGCGGAGTAGTGTACTGGTGACCATTATACTGATGTCTCTTAATTAATAAATCTGAAAAGAGAAATCCTGTTTGTCCTTTGGACACCTTTCCTTGGTGCCCAAGGCTAGTTGAAAAAAAAATAAAGTAGAGGATACTAACATCTTATTTGACAAATTTCTTCCCTTTTTAATTAAATACAAGTTGATGACATGACATGATGAGCCTTGATGTCAGATGGTGCTGCAGAAGGTTGGACTGATGCAAACACAATGTCCATTGTTCATTAGTACAGTCGGACACGGATAGCTTAAACACGTTGGGATTGACGTATTAATTATAATATGTATTCGATACATCCGTAATTTGAGTTAACTGATAACAAAATATTAACTCATTCGCTACGCCGAGCCGTGGGGGGGCGGTGCGGCTAAAGTGCCGTCAGTACGCTAAGCCGTCCCTGGCGGCTCGAGAACCGATCTTCAATTTTAGCTTAGATTCTATTCCAATCCACATAACCATGTTAGAATAAAGGTCATAATATAATGTTGACTTCCGGGTCAAGCATTTCCACTGAAAATCTGAAGGTTAGATTCAGTTTTGCAAGGCGATTTCGTAGTTTATTCGACCTTGTTTTATCGCGATGCCAAAATTATAGCCAGTCTTAGTAATTTTACACAACAAAATCTATCATTATTTTGCTAAAGAAGTGTAGGACTCTTTTTTATAATATTGATACGATTGGATTCATAATGCCAATGCACTGTTATTGAGAAATCAATATTTTTGAGTGCCAGATCTAGGTCTAGACTCAAGATCTAAATTGTAAAAATATTTTTTTCTCTCCAAAATCACTACTTTTTGATGCACCAAAAGTGCCCCTCAAGACAAGTATAGGTTTATTCCAAATGCAATTCTGAATAATTCCATATAAGATACGAGTGGGTTTTTTTCTGTTTGTGATCGTTTTTCAAGATTATATAATTTTTTATTTTTTTTCAATATCGGATGTTATGATCCAAATGTACAAATATTATGGAATGTATGTAAATAACTGCAAACTTTTCAATATTTTCCAGTTCCATATTCATTTATGGTTATTTTGTGGTATCATTTGACTAGGTGCAAACATATTTTTTGAGTTTCACCAAAGATTTTTTTTTTTTTTTTCAAATTTTATCCGCATCCAATCAAAATTGTGTTGCACAATCGCCTCTTACAGGAACCAAAGTTGAAAAATACATAAATAAACATTACAGATGTATTCTACAAAGCATACTGAAAATGTTGGTATACGCTGATATTTATTTGAATTTGTGGCCCCCAAAGACCTTTCAACTTCCCACTATAAGTCATCATCTCATTCGCCCTCCCGAAAAAAATTCGTCCACCAGCCGAAAATAATACGTAGCGAATGAGTTAAAGAGATATCAGTCGTGGATTGGCAATATTGTGCGAGCTATCGCAGTTTTCTGTGACTACGTTATCTCTGCCAGACTATACATTATAGCTGCAGTAGCCACAGCTCCCCCCCCCCCCCCCACACACACACTCACTGACACCAGCATCCAAGGGAAAGCACAATTGGAATTTAAGCTGAAAAAAAGACATCTCAGTCTCAGCCCCAGAAAGGCACACCACAGTCTGTCATCACCAACCAACAGCTTCATCAGCTCTGAAGTGGAAGAGTATTGTCACTCCAGTCTTATTTCACAATATTCCTTCAAAGATGTTTCTGTTTATTAATATTATACTTGTTGAGTTTGGAAACTCTATGACTCATTGTCTAGGCCTCTTCTGAAACTGAAAGGTCCATGACAATATTATTTAACAGTGGCTGTGGGAGTTGGATTGTGGGGAAAATGATTAAGTGAGACAGACCCCCGCCCACTCCCCAGCAAAATAATGATAGATCTGAGTTGGGTTTTTTTTACCCTTATCCGAGAAGGCTAGGTACGTGTTAGATCTTATCCTCCCTGAGATCAGGGGTGTCGCTGAAACACAACGGAGGAGCTGGAGTAGTAGTAGAAACACTCAGGAGCCCAGAGGAGGGGGAAAAGGGGGGGGGGGGTAAAAACGTGGAGATGAAAGCAGATGACAGACCATGACTAGAGAGCAGGAAAGGAGTATTATATGGAGAACATATTGGAGAAGAACATTTTTCGGCACATTCAGGTTTCGAACCCGAGACATATTGAATGAGAGGTAAACACCATACCTCCACACCACGAGCGCCCCCTGTTGAACTTTGAAAGCATTTCAAAACAAAACAACACAAATTCAAGAACCTATAATATTATTGTTATGCTATCAATTGAGCTGAGGCACCCCAGTTTTGGTGTAGGCCTACTGGCTGTCCAACACCCTTCGAGATAATATACAACATAACAGGTGGTCAGCGGGTGCTCTGGTGTGGTTAAATTGCTCTCCTTTAATTACTACTTGTCAAACATCCATCGTTCTTGGCTCTCGGGCGTCTTTTCTTTATATCTTACTTCATGGTGACACCTCTAATCTTCAGCTCTTTTATGACCTATTTGTGTTGCAAGCGCCATAAAACTTTTACTGAAAACCAAACAGAGAAACTATAATATATTATAATGACACAGCGTAGGTTATTTTAATGGCTAAACATTCAGTTCCATGCAAGGACACAAGGCTGAAAAGAAAACCCTGTCCCGGGAGAGACGAGATAATGATATATGGAACCCCCCCCCCAAAAAAAAATAAAAAAAATAAAAAAAATAATTCCAACCATGGGCTTGAATTCACAATAGATCTAATACTTATCCTAGAGCTGGCAAGAGTCATGGTCGCCGCTCTTCAACTCTCTATAAAAACTTCACAGTGCTGGTACGCACAATAGGCGCAAAAAATGAAGGGCACAGCACCAAGTTTGCTACAGCGAGTGCTCGTGCAACATTTTCCTCCTTTCCATTGATATGGTTCCAAAGCGGCAGATGAAGTTTTAAACCTATGGCAGCTTACCCCAGGCCTTGGAGAGAGAGAGAGAGAGAGAGAGAGAGAGAGAGAGAGAGAGAGAGAGAAACTTAACTATACATGTACACGTAATATGCCTCCTAATATTCTCTATTCCATGATCGTATGGGACTAAGGCGAGATGTGAAAGAGACATATATAGAAAAAGAAACAAATTTGTTTATTTGATGCTTTCAATTTATTCTTCTCATCTCTTTGTACATAATAAATAAAAATCTATGGTTTGTGACCCCAAAAAATGGCCTCTGTCAGCTTTCATGAGTCTCACGTATTGATATAGATGAGTCATGTCACTGACACATTCCCGACAATAATTATGATAGTATATTTTCCCCCCCCCCCCT